AATCTAACTTGCTGGCAGTGCATGAACCAAACAGACCGAGGAAATTAGCATAATCGAGCACGCTTTCATTATCAATTTCCCAAGATGAAAATCAAACACAAAGCAATTATACCAAACATCGCGTTACGCTGTTCTGGCAATCCTCGGCCAGAACCATCTTTCTAATCGTCTCTGGGGCGTACCAACTTTTCATCTTTTTACCAACACTCTCAATCAGATGTGCCCTTTGTCTACAACTCGGAGAATAAAATGCACCCATTGTCTGCGTAATCACAGTAACACGATTCACACGAGACAAGTTGGAATCGGTATCGAAGGTGGCACGCGAAACTTGAATGGCAAAGCGTAAAGAAAGTATGACGTGACCCAAAAAAATCTCTGTCGGGGACCGCGCCGCGCCAAAGTTCGGGGATTAATCAAGCTTGGCCCGAGCGAAAGGGAACGAAACAGGAAACGAAGAAAGGTTTTATTGTTCGCGGAAGCGCGGATCGTCAAAGAACAGCTGTGAATTCGCGAACGCGTACGCAATATCGTTGCAGTTCGGTCTGCACACTTTACAAAGACGCTTCTTGTTCCAACGGAGCAATTATATCGGCCGTAGAAATTAATTCTGTGCCTTTATATTCAATCATTTGTAACTTTCGTTGAAGCAGAAATCTATAATTGTCATTTTGTTATCATATGTTATATTAACAACCTTCTGGGTTCTCGACCTGGTCATTACAATGAATCATATATAATTATGTATATCATCATTATGATTATATGATTATGATTATCTTTGTTATGATCAGTACAATGTATGTATATGTCCATGTATATTTACAAGATACTTTAACGTACTAAACGTGTTTTTAAAATAATTCTAATAAATTCTTCCAAATGTATCGTTACCTTATTTCCATATAATTAATTAATTAATTAACGTACATCGTACACATTTATTCTATTTTTGGCTTCCATGTGCTAACAGGTTACTTATCTATTTCTAAAATAGATTGCATTCTCATCGCATCAACAATTACACCGTTACTTAATCATTTAAACGACACAATAGAACACTGATTATCCAGGAAAATTGAATAACATGCGACAAATAGATAATGGAATGATGTCGGCTGGATTATTTTGGCGAAATTATTTCTACGTCCAAAGTACAAGTATCTAATGCATAACCAAGTAGTCGACATTTATGCAATCAAACTGTCCAGATAACAAGTGTTTTATTGCTTGTTCTATTTATAGAAGAAGTACTTAGAATCGTGGAAAACGCTTGGAATTACCTATACTTCGAGATGATTGTCCATCCTCCGGGTATATGCCCCTCTGAAACAGAGACAAAAGTGGATCCATTATTTATTATTATTGTTAATCAAGTGTGGGAATAATGCATAAACTCATAACGAGATATTGGCGAAATTTTGATCTAGGAACGGAGCACGAATAATAATTTATCTCTGACTAATGAATACATTTCCATTTGAATCATTTATTGGTAACCGCTGTATCGGTAATCTAGTTAAGATTGATATTCATCAAGGCAGTCCTTTCTTCAGTCATTTTTTTTTTTTTTAATTCCCAAACTAGCCACTCTTCTCTTCTCTTCTCTTTCCAAACACAGGTAATCTTTTATTACACAATAAAGGTATGGCGACCGATAACGTTTGATCATTGGTCGCGCAAACGTCTTGTAACATTCAGCGCAAGGTTGCGGTCGTTCCCTCTCACTCTGGTTCCGAGCTCACTTAAGGCCTAATTAATTAGGTAAGAAACACGCGTGAGAGAATCGCCGGTTCGGCCGCAAATCCGCAACGGAAAAACGTAGATCGTTGGCTCAACTTTTTTTTTTTTATTCTACAGGCTGCTTCATTTAAACCGGCATGATTAAATATATCGCGAGGGGATGTGTTACAGGTCGATGAATTCGTCTAAACAAATGCTATTTTACTATGAATAAAAATATGTAAGATTTCATTTAAAAAAAAATTAATTTGTATGCTAAATCTCTCTCGCCATTTTATTTACAACAAAATTATTTACACCATATTGTTTGTCTATTTTAGCCAAATAATTTGTGTAAAAGCAATTTTTAGATAGTCTCGTCTCCTTACGAGATATTTAACTAGCCCGGTTTAAACGAAACACCCTATACACGACTGTCTATGTACTTCATTTGTGCGGCACACGTGGAAAAATATCCAGGAAGGAAGAGCGGCCCATTTACAACGTGCAATTATGCATTGTGACTGAATTATTCGACGAGGATGCCTTGTGCCGTTCGTTAACCGTATAATTAGCCAATTGCTAATTGCTCGAGTTCGCATGAGCTGTTTCGCTCACCTCGGAAACGAATTAACTGTACAAAAATCGTGGAGGGAGCGAGGAGGTCAAAGAAGATAAAATTTGTATCTCGATCAAAATAGTAAAAGATTAAAAAGACTTGTAACCAAGTATCTAATTATATAAAGAGATTTTCAAGTAAATCGTTTCTGTTGCGTATTATCTCGGGGATTCCTTCTTTAATTAAATTTGAAATTGAAAAATGAGGAAATAATGCTTGAAATAGCTATTGTTTCGAATGAATTGATATTATTTTTATTTCTGAATAACAATCGAATGCTCCGAAAGAAATGATTTCAAATAGTTCTTTCTTATTTTCGTTTCAATTAAAATATGTGCGGGTTTGGCATATATCAATTGCCTAACTTCACTTGTCGGTCTTTCTAGGGTTATTCGCTTACGCAAAGTCTAGTCTTCGTCTCTCTTTCGTGTAGGTAGAAAATACAGCGTAGTACACGTAAGGATAGGCCTAAAAAGGCGAACCGAAGGATAGAAAAACCGTGGCGGGAAAATTGGAATGCAAAGGACACGTGTGCGTCTCGACGCGCCTCGATTATTGCCCACCGTTGACATCGAACGTACCGATGAAATTGCTTCGAAAACGTTTACGTGATTCGACGAGCGATTGATGTGACAGGTAATCGTTCTTTTTATTTTCTTCGAGGTTCGAATACAATGCAACGATTTCGTGTACACGTCTCGACGATACCCGTTTCCGTTTCGCTGCGTTTACAAACTATTCACCGCGGACACCCTTGCGAAATATTATTTTGCCGATCTCTGTATAAATTCAAAGTCAATACTGAGAAGTTAGTGCCAACGTTATTGCCTCGTTAATGCAAGCGCATTACATAACTACAATTTACGTTGCACGTTTATCTTTTATACATGTTAAGTTTCAAGTAACGAGTCCCTTCGCTCTGCCGCGATGATCGCTGATTAATGTTTATATACATTACATAATATAATCTGTGAGGAAATATTAAGTCTAGCAGCGACATGAAAACAATACAAATGGAGAAACTGCTCCGAAATGATTCGAATGAAAAGAAAGACTTAAATTCTTGTTAAAAATTCCGATCGTCTGGATTCTCAAAAAACGAATTTCGAGCCAATTTGTGAACATTCCGTGGCAATGAAAAATACACCGTGTCAGGTAGATAGGTTCTGTGTATACATGTGATACTTTTTGCGGAACTGTACGTGGTAAAAAGCGAACCGCGATAATGTCACCGAATGCCGATGTAAGATAGTAGGAAACACACCGAAAGCCCATTATTTCTCTGTCATTCGGTGCATTTAGAATGCAAGTGCGTGTGTCATTTAAATAACGCCCACTTTTAACTCAAGAGAGAGTGTAACAACTCGAAATGTAATCTCTGATCGAATTTAACCAGTTTCGCAATTCGAAACGCGATTGCCTTCGTTCGATAAAACGATCGTGTCTCTGTCATTTCGACGTTTAATCGAGGAGGGAATATCTTAGAAGAGGAAGACTGGAAACGTTTTAACGTGTAACAGTACCGCAACAGTTTTATCCAGCGCGCGAATACGTCGGAAATTTGGTACTCACCTTGTTGTATACACGGATTTTCCTGACGAGCCTGCGGACAAACACAGGTAGCACAATAACACTGTGTCACATGAACAAATATTCATAAAAACCACACGAAACAACGATTCAATCACCTCGCGAAACGTCACACTCACTTTGGTCGAGCGGCCATTTTGCTACACACGACTCGAGTGAAGAACACCTTGATCTACGAGAGACAGGAGCTTGAAGTTATTCCACTACAGGGAGCTGGTGATTTCAATGGTACCAACATTACGAAATCATCATCGCGGTTTAGTAAAGAAATCTGACAGATGGACAAGTTCTAATATTGACTGATGGCAATTACCAAAGAGGATTAGAATCCCAATCCTCTTTGGCAATTACTGCTAATACGACAGACATTTTATTTGCACCTACTTCTATATGAATTAAATGACTGGCTTGGAGACACTTTTTACAATTGAATGTAAAATACTTTGCTTGGTAATAAATTGAATAAGTAATATTATAGGAATAAAAAGATATGAAATGTCAATTACAAAGAGGAAATAATTCTACGATAACTTTACGATTCTTTCATAAATTATAAGTATCGTAATAATTTAAACTCTTCTAAAACTTGTTATATTTAAAAATAAGAGGTGATGTAGAGAACGCATAACCGTATGCGCGTCAGAGTAGTGTACTGCCATAATCAGAAACTATTTTGGCGTTGCACTGTGATCTAAAAAACGGCATTTTGAAATTCGCGGGGTTTTAGTACTAGTGGTGCCATCGGTGGGAAATGGCCCAAGTTTGTAGTGAAAATAGTTCCCATCATTCTTATAAGATGGCGCCACAGATTTAATGAAGGGTCGATAATTATTTCTTTATTAAATAACTGTTCATAAATATTACGAAGATGGCATATGAACTAATATATTGTAGTTTTATAAGGCAAAGAATCTTATTAATCACGTATTTATGAAAAATAAAGAATAATTTATTAAAGTATATCGGTGACGTCATCTTACAGAAAAAGTGGAAACTACTTTTACTACAAACTTGGACGTTTTCCCACCGATGGCGCCAGTGGTAATAAAATTTTAAACCCACTGAAAGAATTCCGTGTTACAACCTCACTGAACCTCACTACAGTATGCATCGTTTTTTTACTTTGTGAATAGAAATGTCATTCTACCTGTTTTAAATATCCTAGGCATAGAATGATTCGCTACGTCATTTTTTAAATGTGTCATATATAACCAATTGCCATCGGTATATGCAGAATACTTGTCCATGCACACATGCATACGTAAATATTTCGCATGTTTCATACAGTTTTTGCCTAGACAATTTTCTTATAATGTGCTTTTTGAATTAAACTTTACCATATGGCTATATAGTTAATCCCGTACTAACTTATAAACAAAGTTTATTTATAATTAAATCATTGAAATGGCCCCGAAATTGCGAATTTTATCTAATGTTATAGAGGTAATTATTATATGAGGTTTGAATTTGTCATCATTTTGATGTAAGCAAATCACCTGTATGTTGCAAAGTGCAGTGCATTTAAAATTATTAATTTTTAGCGACTAAAAAGTGTAAGGAATGGGATAACAGGTCACCTGTATGGTGTTATGTACAATAATACATTAACAGTATTGACATTTAGTGTAAATGTATCGGATGACATTGAAGCCAATTTAAATCACACGACATTACAGTTACACATGCCAGCAGAAGTGTATCTCTGTGGTATTCTACATGTTGGTGAATGTGAAGAGAAGCTTCCAGATACATTTCAAGTAAGATTATTACATTTTCTCTTATAGTGGCAAAAAAAGATTATTAAATGTATGTTTGAAATTCTTTAGGATATTGATATAACAGATAATCCCTTACTTTTGAAGTATTCACATGAAAATTTTAAAGTAGAAACATATTTTTATATTCATCAAAAACTTGAAGCTATTAATGATGTAAAAATCATTAATGAAAATGAAATTCGTCAAGAATTTATGTACATTAGAATAAGAGGAAGCTTGCCTATAATTGCTCAAAATGATAACATAATGGAGGTATTAGAAGAAACAAGAAAAAATGTAAATTATTAATATTTTATTAAGAACATAGTATGATTAACATTAAACTTGATACATAGCAAGTAATTATTTTTTTAGCAAGTTGCATCAGGAAAGATAGGATTTCAGTTTCCATCAAAAAATGCATTTCTTTTTAACAACGAGAATAACTTGAATGATACATCTTTAAAGGAACTCTTAGATATTTCTGTATATCATGAAGGCACTACAAATATAAAAAAAGGCATTATTCGACCTGCAGGGGTTGTGGTACATATTTTAACACTTTTTATTATGTTTTATATTTCCCATTTTCTTGAAGAGTATATTTATTTTATTAAATTTAACAGGATGCTGTAAATGCTAATATACTTTTAAAAATATCTAGAGATAAACTTTCAGAGGAAAATATTAATTATGCCCCAGTCCTTCAATATGTAAAACGTAGGTACCATAATTTTTTGTTATTAAAATATTACGAGTACTGTATTATAATCTAAGCAATTATTAAAAAAAAACGATATTTACCATATAGGACCATTTGATAGTTTGGAGTGTAATTTGTCTATTGACACATTATCTTTGGTCAATTTTAACACAAGTTCAGCAGACCTTTATGGAATATTAGTGGAATCCATGTGTCGAAATATTAAATTAATAGAAAAATGTTTTGAGGAGCAGCTTAAAAAATCTGAATCATCTATAAAACTGCCACTACCTGTACATTTCAGACCCCATGCTTTTGGACATTTACTCACAGTAGTCTATCCAAATGGTCATAATGACAACGAAACAAGTAATATTTTTTATGACACCTGTTTACTTTGTATAATTAACAAAAAAGATGATATACTTCTGAAAAAAATTTATTCAATTGCAGTTGAATACCGTGAAAGTTTACATAGAATTCTTGAATTAGATATGAGTAAACCCTACTTCCGCTACGGGAACGCCGTGAAATTTTATAACGAGTCGCAAGCAGATAATATACTCATAAATCCTCACGAAGCTATTTTACAAAATGATGGCATGTATTCAGTATTATAAGTTCATGTAGGATATTTATATGTTACATTTGATACATTTCTAATTTTTCAACAGATGTAGCGAATAGTACTCGCAAAATTAGCATTGTACAAGGTTTATATGCATATCATCATTACATGCAGGATAATTTTGATGATAATGGCTGGGGCTGCGCATACAGATCTCTACAGACGATTATTTCGTGGTACAGGTAATATCGATATTTATACGGTTAATCGATAAAGTATTTTACGTGAGGTTACGAGTAACGATATCTCGGTTCTTATAGATTACAAGGCTACACTGAAATACCAGTACCTTCACATTGTAAAATACAAAAATGTTTAGTTAATATAGGAGATAAGCCTTCAAGTTTTATTAATAGTAAACAATGGATTGGCTCAACAGAAGTAGGTTTTGTACTAGAAAGTCTATTAGGTATCAGTGTTAAAGTGCTCTGTGCATCTACAGGTGAAGAAGTATCAACTTTAGCTACAAATCTGTTGCATCATTTTCAAACACAGGGTACACCAGTAATGATTGGTACATAATTTTTTCTTCCTTTTAGGTAAAATGTCTTTCTACCTTTGGTAATTTAATTTTGAAATACTTTCTAGGTGGTGGTGTATTAGCTCACACAATTTTAGGGATCAACTATGATGAACTTACCGGTGATGTAAAATTCTTAATTTTAGATCCGCATTATACAGGTCCTGAACATTTACCAACTATAATAAACAAAGGTTGGTGTGGATGGAAAACAAAAGATTTTTGGAAAAAAGATGCATTTTATAATATGTGTTTGCCTCAAAGGCCAGTGTGCATCTGATGAAATAATTCTTCATTAACTGGTGAAAATACAGTAATGTAGTATACAGTTAAATGCTACCTGAAATAATATTAAAATGGATATGCAACTGTCAATTATCATATTTTGTTACACAATTATTACAAATAGGAGTTGCTATCCAAAACTGTTAAAATGAGACACATTGTAATGTAACATGTGTAATTATTTTAATGTATGTATTATGTGGCATAAATGAATTGCACACCAGATGCATTTTCTTGAACTTCCTAGGAACAAATTGAAAAGAATATAGTGTTTAATGTTAAATTCATATTAAACATTCATTCCAATTGTATCTATTCTATTGGTATTTTAACACTAACTATTTTTGACATTTTTTAGCATGAAAAATTGTTTTATATGAAATCAAATGCATTTGTTTCCAACTATTACATTGCCAAAACATTATGCAACTCTAATGTGATTATATTAAAATGCATAAAACATTTACAGAATTAAGAATATATTTATTATAAAATTGATGTTACAATGTACTGTATTTCTCACATAATTCCAAGAGGAATTATATATAAGTTCAGATGTACATTCTGTAAAGTGTAACATATAAATTAAATTTTTTGTATAAATAAATTTAAAGAATAATTCTGTTGAAAAAAATAACTCCTTTATTTGTCAGCTTACTTTTCTATTTATTATTATACAAATCAAATATTTTTTTGTTGCACATACACGAATAAAAATAATTTTATTTATAATTGTCTACAATACCAACACAATTTATAAATAAACTACATCATTCCTGCAGATTTTTGCAAGAGTTGTGAAAAACGATTTGTAATTAAAAGAGAAACATCTATAAACCTATCAACACAATTGTTTAAACATGTCTCTGTCCGACTGTCCAATTTGCTTCCTGGTTTATCAACACATTTTTCCCAACATACATCATTGAATTCATGAATCTAAAAATGTATGGACACAGATTGTTATGGGAATTCGTTAATATCGAAAACATAATCTCTACATTTATTATTTCATACACGTACTTAAAAATTACGCATTTTTACCAGGCTAAAATCAGTTACGCGGTATATTGATTATAAAAAATATCGAAACGACAAAATCATAACCTAAAAATCGCATGGAGTTTACAGACATCAAGCGTAAAATTAAACTTCTGGGCAAATCATAAGTTCTAAATTACTTGAAAAGATTTACCAACAAAAAGTATTCATTTGCTTTAAATTCATTTTGCGAAGAATAAATTTACCTGGGCTTGAAATTGTGCCTTTTGCTTCTCCATCATAATAAAATCCTGCAGCTCATGGTCCACATCTTTGGTAGACTTATCTTGAAAAGACGAGCCACTATATAGGTCAGACATATTTTATACTTTTAATTTTGAAGAATTGTTTATACAATATTTTCGTAAACCGATAAGTACACTTTCAAGCTACACGTGGTATTACCAAGGAGTTCAGTTGAATCTACGTTTTAGTTACTCAAAGATAAGTAGGCGGCGCTGGTCAAAGAGATTGCATACATAGAGTAGATAAAACAGTCGAGAAAGTACAACGCGAATAGTAAGAGAAGAAAGTTTGATTGCACGCCTGATCTTCTCTATTAACGCTTGCGCACTCATATTAAGAAACCTTAGCGGGAGAGAGTAAGAATTGAGGAGAAATGCTACTCCAATAATCTCTTTGTTCAGCGTCAGTGTACATACATATACGTCTATAGCGTCAGATGCTCCTTAATTCCTATAACGCCCCCCGAATCTTAATATCCTGACGCTCACGCAATCTTACATTAGAAATACTCACTCCATTGTTCTCTCTTTTTCCTCGCATCCGCTATTACCACTAACAGAGGCTCCTCTGACCTTTCGCTCCTCTTCTACTCTATCTATACAATCTCGTTGGTTTACACGTGCGGTTGGGGGCGTCAGAGATCAACAGTCTCCATCACGTGCAACTGATCATGCCACTTGTGGATACGGCCCTGATTGCCGGCAGGTTTGTTAGCCGGCACGGAACGAAGTGGCGCTGCATTTCAGAATCCGTCGTCGACGGCGTCGTCGCTGTCTCGTGGTTTGCGTGAATTCGTCCCGTTCTAACGATCATTCTCCCTCGAGGGAGAGAAATCGAGCGAACCGTGTAGCCAAGACCCGTTTACTGCCTGAGGACGGTTAGTGTCGTGTGCCCGTGGCACAGCACGATCACGGTGGTGTGCGCGCGCGCCTTTATTTATTCGATCATTGACAATGACCGCGTCCGCGGAGGATTATTACGACGGCTCGCGGGCCTTTACCTGGCTCGCGGACACCATCGACATCCCGATCGACCAGGTGAGAGAAGTTCTCGTCTAAAAATTGATAGAAATCAGGATTACCAATCCTTGTCAATCGAATGCAGCTTCAGTCGAAACGTATGCTAACGTAATACAACATTCATTTAATTACTAATAAAATCGAGTACCGAGAGAAATCTTCATCTAAAGATTGAAATATTGGAGCGCAGGTATTAATTCCGGGCTAACGTACCGACCTCCTAAGTACTCGATACCTAATAAATCAGGATTTACCAATCAGTCAATGTATTCGAAGGTATGTAATTAAACATCAATATATCGTGTTCTATGAGTGATAATTATCATCAAGTTCTGAACTCGTGATACATTCGTACGTGTAAGTGTGTGTTCACTTAGATTGAGTGCTGGTGTTTATTATAGTGTTTCCGGTTATGGAGCCAAATTAACCCTTTGCACTCCACTGGCGTCACCACGACGACATTCCTAGAACACATCGTAAATTAGTTCGAGATTTATGCCTACGTCAAATAAACTATCGAAGCGAGTGAATGAAATACAATTTGTGTATGTGTTTATGTGCATTTGAGAGGAAAAAGAAGCCAGTCATGTTTCAGTGAAAGTGCAGCCAGAAAGTATTTTCTTTAATATAATTGAACATTGATAATGTCGTTCATCATACATCCCGTTCTATCAGTGATAATTATTGGAATGTCCTTACTACATTGATACGTATAAGTGTGTATATACGTATTAGATCAATTACTGGTGTTTATGAGTGGATTTGTAATGATGAAACCGAATTAAAGATATATGTATATATAAATAGTGTATATATACATATTAGATCAAATAGTGGTGCTTATGTATTTCCTTATGAATTTCTATATATGCAACTGAATTAAAAATATTTGTTTCCGAAGGGAGCGTCGAAGGATGCTTTTGACCGATTTTATTTCGGAGTAATTTCTATTCCTGATTTCACATATCAGCTTAATTCCCATCTCGTTTCGTTTTCAACGTGACCATTTGCCCCCCACTTATCTGCCTCCTGACCGCCGAAATGGAAGGCGCATCGATCGAACCTGGATTACTACACCGGATTTCCGACCTCCTATTAAATATCCTTGCGACTCACTCGGCCATAGTTGTTGCTGTTGGCTTTATTTCGTCGTCTTATTCGTCTTCGTTTCAATCGTCAAGGTTAAGGTTCGACACGCCTCGGACACGACGTTTCACAGCTTCAACCACCGTAAAATCGCCTATTTTCTTCCTTGGATAAACACAGCGACGACAGTATACGTTGGATATCCGTGGCGACAGGAGCAATGTAGCGATTCGATGATTCGAGGAGCAACTTAACTGGTCGTTAAAGCGTTCTAGGCGCGTAACTAATATGGTATACGCGTGTGGGATGCATGTAAACATCGTCATTGGAATCACTTTTGCGCAGTCTTACATTGTATTCCTATGAGATGCATCGGATTACATTGCCAGTGCTTCCCAACAGGTGTGACGTGACCTTGGGTGTGTCACGAAAAAAACTTGTAATAAATCAATGGAAAGATTCTAATCGTATACGAATTTCCATATCGTGGAGATACTGGGAATATTCTTGCTCCATTTGCTAGAATCCCATTTTGCGTTTGAACCGTAGATCAGAGATTGCAAAAGTTTGAACGTTCTTCTGAACATAGAAACATGTTCAAGGAAGCAGTCGCAAGTCCTGGAAAGTAAAATTTTATTCGATTTGAACAATATACTTGGATCTCAACACTGTTAACCTTGTAAAGAATAAATTGTTCATTTTGATCTTAATGATTCGAGCACGATTTCAGCACAATTTACGTTAATGCTAAATTGTGCATTCGGAAAATTGTTGCGTGTATACGTTAACATGTCTTGGCTGTTTCGTGACGTGAAACGGTTGGGAAGCACTGTTTTATCCTATATTCCACGTAATAGGTGTGTCACGCGTGATTATTAAACGCCAATAGTTTAATGGAAACTCACTTCCAGATTTACCGCTTCGTGTGACATTATAATTAGACGAGGAATACGCGCAATACGCAAAAACAGCGTTGACAGAAAATTAAAAATAGCATTTGGTAGAAACGTTTCGGCGCATAGCCTGTGAGACTTTGCGTACGGTTTCTACGTGCTCTGATTTTTTATCTGTTCAGAGAATTGTTGGAGTGGTGATCTTCTGGAGTACGGTTTGAGCGCACGATTGTCGATAACGATACAGCTATTGTGCCACGATAAGATAATCGCCGTTAAGAACTAACATGAATTCTGCAAAGTAGTGAAAAATCTGTACGCCGACAGACGTGCAATCCATATAAAGTACTCAATATAGTAGATTCATTTAAATACTAATGCTTGTACTGTCTACTGTATAATAATTTTATGCATTGCTTTAGTAAAGGACATGTAAACGATTTCTATTGAAAATATGATACCACTCGATCCATTCAGTCTTCGTGTATTTTGCGCTTCATCCGCAAATTGCGTCATTGTAGCGACTAGGACAATTGCAAGTCAGAAACGTAATTACGTGTTTTGGTGCAGGTCGTGCACTGAGTCATATTCGTAGTTTAGGCTGAATAGGTTACGTTAAGCTACATTTCCTGCACACATACAATCTTCAGATAATCATTCGAAACCATATTTAAAAAATAATTCAATTCTACTAAAAAATGATCCGCCAGAAGTTTTCTTTATTATCTTGTTTGAGAAACACTGACTTTTATGCTATATAAACTCTGTCAAATGCAACAGTTGGGAAAACGCGAGCGTTGCTAGTTCCGCATGAGTAACCAATGTTTACTACGAATCATTCGAGTACCGGTCGTCTCAAATGATTGGTCGTAGCTATTTTTTAACAAAATGAAAAAAGAGGAAAATTTTGAATTCCAGTTTGAACGAAGCAGAGTAACATCTTTATAGACAAAAAAAAAATATACATGTCGAATCGAGTAACCTCCTCCTTTTCGAAGTCGGTTAAAAAGATAATCAGATAAATGGGGTTTACATACTAGGAAGTGATGGGAGCTTTTTGTTGCTCGCAAGGTAATAATTGCACCTTGAAAATTGACCTACGGTAACCGGTGCAATTTTGTGGTCGTTAAACGGCTTGGATGTTCCCGTTCGAAACGCCTCGTGTCAGTGTTATATTTAGCGAAACCTTTACTTTATTTTTTACCATTAACGAGACGCTGAAAAAGAGTGTCGTGACGAATGAAAGGTCAGGTATTACGATTGGCATAATCCTTATCTATCACGGATTATCTATCTCTGGTTGCGAAAACGTCTTCTTATAAGAAATTGTATCTTTTAATATTATTTCAAATAGTATAATAGTATTAGATTCAACGTCAACTATTTCTTGAGTATATAAAATTAATTTTATTATTTTTCGCAATGTAAGATATTATTATTTTCTTTGATTTGCGTCACGGTGGTGAGAATTACGCAACTTAGAATTTATAGTAATTTTGTCAAGGACATTATTTGAAAATGTATCATAGAAATTAAGAAAGCAGTTAAGAAAGTGTATAGTTCGTTGTTATGCACTCAATTTATCATTCTGTTTACATTTTTACAAGGAGGCGCTGTCATGCATATGCAAATTAAATTTTTCCATCACGGGTTTGTCTACGGTCGAATCGTGTATAATGTTGTAACATTTTTTTTTATATAAGAGAGTTTCATCGTGACTTAATTTTAGAATTAGTTTGCTATGCTTGAAACGTCATCGATCACGGGCGTTCCGATTCGATACAGAAACGCGTGGGAGGAAAGTTATTGTGCATTGTGCTTGCAACGTTGGTTTAGAAATCGTCCATGTTTTTATAATTTATCGCTATTTACTGTTAACGAGATTAATATTTTTATTTTTTATTACACATAAAATAATTGTTTTGCATTATATTAAACACCTAACCATGATATTTCATGAAAAAATGTTCTCAAAGTTTCCGTGATTATACATTTACTTTTTATAGGTTACAAAAGTATAAAAACAACGATACGTAATCTTTTTCACAACTATCTAGCTGTGCCTGTGGCGTGATATAACATGAATATTGTGTCACCAAGTGTCGTCTGACAAACACAGTGACCTCGTCTTTCAGTTTCTGGATCTAATCTGTTTCTGATTAAAATGTATTAGGCGTAGAAATTAATTCTATGCCTTTATATTCAACCATTTAGTAGTTTTTGTAACTGTAGTTTATATGGAAATATTTTCTCATGATTTTGCTACATTAAAGTTTTGATGTTAACAATTTTCTAAGTTCTTGGTCAGGTAAACGAGGTCTCAATCTGATGGCCGCTACAAATATAATAAGTAGTTATAATAATTGCAGGAGAATACATGTAATGTCCATCAGGTTGAAGACTTGGAAGATTGGTACTTTAAACGCATCAAAATTACAAGTGAGAATGTTTATTTAGACTAGAAGTTATAAATGATCGAATACAGAGGCACAGAATTTGTATACCCAATGTAATAGGAATTAACTGCCACGTTTGTATCGTTGGAAGTTACGTACAAGTTACAACCGAGAACAGTTGCAACGGTCGTATTTCAATCCGTTCGGAAAGGAATGTATGGGTAGCTAAAGTTGTAATGTAACTTGAAGAATGCGTAACAAAACACGCCTGCCCTCTATTCCCGAGAAGCGGCATGTCTAAGATCCCGTTTCGTTCGAACGGAGTTTTAACCCTCTGAAAAATGTCCTGCGAGACTAGCCTCCCGTTATTCATGGTTTTTTTTTTTTAGCGGATGAGTTGGAGCAGTGCTTTCAAATCATTTTTGGATCGCGACAATTAGAACTATGACCTCAACACAGTCATAGATTCTGAAGTCTTGCTTGTGAAAGAAGAAGAAATACATGAAACAAACCTTCATGATTTTTAACTCCTTTGTCATTTTTTTGCTAATATTTTCATTCGATTTTAGTATGAACTAGCTGTGTTGTCACGAAATTATTCTATTTTAGTATTCAAAAGTACTATCATTTATTTGTATTATCT